TAGGTATGAACAGGTATGTCATCGTATTCTGATGAGTGTGATGCTCCAAAGATTAACCAGAGGTTGGAAAATTCAATGGAAAAGTGAGACAGGCATACAATCAGACTGTGACTAATATCCCGAGTGTGATGATCGCCATTGTTAATTCACAACTGATACATTATCATCATTAATTCATATATTTACAGTTGAACGTCACAGTTACCTTCCCCACGAACCTTCTGCACACCATCTACAACGAATCCAGCAACAACAGGATTCAGTTTGTGGCCTACAAGCGATCCCAACTGTTCGTCCCGGCTGCGGGTTTCCCCGACGAGGTTTCAACACTGGACCACCAACGTGTTGTGTCGGCCAGTATCAAGGGGAAACACCTGACAAACCTCACAGAAGCGATTGCAATTAGTCTGCCGGTTATACAGGTAACAAAAATACAGACCTGGAGATGTTGAAAAGATACGCTTAATTATGTGTAGCATTGCTGAAATCGCCAAACAAGACTACGATTGTTGACCTCAAATGCTTTCCCATGATACCAAATGTCTTACCCTTTCCACCTCCCCCACCCTCCAATAGGCTTAGGGATAATTTGTCAACACTTAGAACCAGTATAACAGAGATCTACTCCCAATCATCTACGAGCAGCTCAGCTTTGAAGTCCGTTACAAAAAGAAAGATCAACATACTTTATCTACACCAGAGTTGTTGAGTTTATGCAGATGGTTCAGCCAAGAGGTCGGTCAGAGACGCAGGAGAAGCAATTTACACACAATGTCCGAAATGCTTTTAAAATTGAACAAGCTGTATCAGCAGATTCATATTCCTCCAATTACAGAGGTTAATGCATTCTCGTGGAATGTTCTTTCCTGAATAGACCACAGCACAACAGACACAGCGAAATGGTCTTTCTGACATGTTACGTTTGTTCTACAAGCAGTTGTTAGCCCCCCCCCCCCCCCCCAAAAAAAAAAAATGCACCAGAGCGACACAGAAACAAAGACCTGAACAATAAATAGCTGATTCACTTAATCTCTTCAGTAGAACAATCTGTCCTGCATTGGATTCTATGTCACTGTAGTTTGAAGGCAATGAAAAAGAGTGGAAAGATTGGTCGGAAGTGGCAGTAACATGGTACAACTAAACAGTGGCTTAATCCGCCAGGAGACCAAGACATCAACACAATATAGTATTCAAGAAATTGGTTGAATACGCTCCAAATTTTCAGCTCCAGAGTCGTTTCATCGGCTCTCCACAGAGAGGGGTAGTATGTTATTTTCAGACTAAAGACAGGGCGTGACAGAATTCGCAAACATATGTTCAGATTTGTTCAATTTCCACAGCGGTTAAGCAATGGCAAACTACTGAATGTAAAATGTACCTTGAAAAACCACAACAGCCCAGAAATGGTTCTGCAACGTCATGTAAAGGATACGCAACTAACTTTAACATACTTTACAGTGTAAAATTATTTCAATTTGAATATATGTCATTGAAAGGCGGAGCATAATTTAAAAAGGAACGAAAGTTAAATGCTTAAAGAAATTGATAAAGTTTGAATGGGATGAATTTAAGAAAGCTTTTAAAATCATAGGGATGTCCGGAAAACTGCTTGTTTGTCAGTTATCAGTAAAAGAAGATGGCAATATACTTGATACATCGTTTGGAGAAGCGGACAGAGAATCAGAAGACAGGCACGGAAATGGAGAAAAAGGTAATGGATAGTGGAAGCGAAGGCCTCCGAGAGAAAGGTTAAGACGAGGTTGTTGAGACACGTGATGTTGATGATGTTGATGATGATGGGGTGATAATGATGATTCAAGTCTTAATACAAATAACAGATCGATGTCAAAATTGCTGACACTTTGTTCGATCACATTTCAGCCAGGCGAGAAGCATGACTGCGTGTACTGGAATACTACAGGTAAGAACTTGTGAGAAAACTAGAACTTTACTTATTCAGAACCAGTCAACTCACCTAGAGTTTACAGGTTATTCTCTACATAATATGTTCTTATAAACATCATAACCATTCGTGCCTGGTCCTGACATGCGTTTAATTGCGTGTGCAACTATTTATTATCTTCCACTACTTACCTCAATCTCAGCTGCCTTCCGCTGGCTTTAGAATCAGCTGTACACACATGCCGTTATTGTAACTGACTCACAGAGCATGTTGAGAAAGGTGAAGACAGGCATGCTTCGTGCAGAGTGGCAAGCATCACTTCAGCGATCCCGGGTAGCTAGCATCCTTTGGATTTTTTTTCTCCAGGTGATCCCGCTGTGTTGGGAAATGAGCACGCTGATAGACTGGCCGGTTCTGCACCACTTGATGCTGAATTGATGTATGAAAAGTTAGCTAATGAGAGGGCCGTTTGGGAACGAGTAAACAGTGCGGCTATGCAGATAGATCACTACGGTCTGAAGAAAATGGCGCTGCGAGCAGTTACCAGGGAATGTGGCCGACACTCAGGGGAAGGATGAGACGGATATACAATCAGACGGCTGCTAGTGCCATCGGAATTGGAACTCTTCGCTTGCTGCTGAAGATGGGGACGCGCCCTTATGGGAGTGTCCCGAGTGCTTTGATGTCGATTCTTTTTTCAAAATTCAACCTCCTCGGTGCGTTGCTAGGAGATGCAAGGATCGTTTGTGCGCTTTTTTCTTAATGCATTGTACAAGTTGGTGTTTATTTCTGTTAGGTTGCTCCTCAGTTGGTACTACCATGGAATTCTCTTCAGGTTGCCAAACCATCTCATTTGTTGTTCTTTAATGAACTGTATGACTGGTTTCAGTCCTAGTCTTCCTTTAATTTCTTCATTCTCGATTGTATCTCTTCTTGTCACACCGGCAGCTCTCCTATGTCATCTCATCTTCAGTACACAGTCTAAAAACAATAATCTGTTGCTTTCATGTGAGGATGTTGACTGGGTCTTGAGGTTTGTGACCTGCACTGTAAGTGTTCCAAGAGGTTGTAATGGCTACATTGATCTCAGTTTTAAAAGTGCATCCCGGATCTGACTGTTCTAAATGACTCCTACTTTTTGCTTGAGTAATCTGTACTTTTATTTCCCTAAATGTGTGACAAATGTTTCAAGTGATCTGTATAATATTCCATTCTCTATACCTTGACATCTGGGTCCACTCCCTAATAATACAAGCAATCTGCGGTTTTCTTTACGAGGCATTCAGCGTCTGCAGTCCACTCTGAGGTCCATACTCTGTGTGCCTGACCTGGTGGTCAACGTTCTGTCACTGAAGTCAAGTCATTTCCTACTCCACTCAAATACTTGCTGGACTGACAGCCATCCACCCTCATACTGGACATTCATTCACCGATGAATGTTTACACAATAGAGCGGTGCATTTCAAAAGTGGGCTGGCCATTTTTAATTTGTCATATGACTTCACGGCGTCCCACTGTACCGTGATATCCCGTGCTTAACACTCTTGACACCCTAAACAACAATATTGACAGGTTAGAAGCATGGTTATTGTAACTTATAAGACACTTTTAATGTTTTCATTTGCAACCCCCTCGTATTAAACAGATAGGTCAAGATATTTCCAGTATGTTTCATATGACACCCCAATCTCTATACCTTGCCTCTCAGGTGTACTCACTAATAATATTGCCTTAAAAGCCTTCAATTGTTTCCTGATGGTTCTCAGAATCTCGATGGTCGACCGAGGGAATTGTCTTGCAGCAAGACGACAACAACACTGACTATGTGACCTGCCTGTCCAGCCATCTCACCAGTTTTGCTGTTATTCTGGTGAGAGTTTTAAAATTTAAAATATTAGTCGTAAGTCGCAATTTCAAATGTTGTGCCCACTTGAAGAGAGTGCCTTCTCATGCTATACCATTCAAGACCTATACCCAAAAAAGGAGAGGGACGTAGAGCAAGAGGTAGATCAAGAACAAGATGGAAGCAGGTTCCAGATACCCACATTCGCTAACTAAATGCATACGGCACCAGATATTTCAACTCTAACAGTCGGCAACTACAAGTGCAGTTCATTGTTGACCGAAGAAGTCAGTCACAGCAAACCATCACTTGCACACGTAATACAGCGTATAGAACACTCTACTGCATAAATAACTAACAAGGCGAGATGATGAGAGCAGGTCACAAAAGAAAACAGCACGGACGAAAAAGCATCACATTGTCGCACCGAGTATTCAGTTCAATAGCTATTCAACGAAACCTTTTGATTCCTAGTTCAGAAATGTGGAAAATGGACCAACAAACCTTGACCAGAAGCAGTGAACAATACAGGGGTTTAAATGACCGTCAGTATATCCTCCAAACAGTAACAAAATATCTTTGTTTCTTGAATATTATCTTTTAATTTATCAGCATGGACATCAGAAGAATGCCTTCACCTCCTCATATTCTTCTTTTTCAGCATTCCGAGCCCTTGAGGTTCATTGCTACAGATATCCCCTGCCTCCATTCATCTCTCTGTTTGGCCTTCTCTTTTCAGTTGGTGACACCAAGTGTTTTCAGATCAGTCTGGATATTGTCTCTCCATCGTCTTCTTGGTCTTCCTCGTAGTCTGCCACAATTCATCTCTCTGGATGTATACAGTTTTTACTTCTCTATCGTCTGACATTCTTTCAATGTGCCCCAACTATAATGTCTATTAGCTCTCACGAGGCCAGTGATAGGTGGTGATTTTAAAAGATTATGAATTTCGTTCTTGCTTCTCATTCTCCATTCGCCGCTGTTTGCATCTTTGATGGAGCCAAAGATTCGTCGTAAGACTGTTTTCGAAAACCTGTAAGAAGGCTTCTTCACTTCTAGTTGTGCTCCAAACTTCACCGCTTCAGCAACAAACAAATTTATAAGCCAATAAATAAGCTAAACATGTAAGGTATTCTATATTGTCTTTATTAATGCTGCCCAACTGTAACCCCACAGAACCACGAATCCTTGCCTCTGTCCCCGGAGCATGAAGAGCCTCGGACCTACCTAACCTACATCGGATGCGGCGTTTCAATGACTGGCTTACTGATTACTATCCTCACGTTTACAATGTTTAAGTAAGTGGTTGACATTAGGTTATATTTGTTTCTTTTCGGATAATATATTTGTTGATATTATTTGACGTTTGCTTATTTTTTTACCAATATTTGTGATGATATTAGTTGATCTTTCTTTGTTCCTGGCTCATATATTTATTGATATTTATTTGTGTTTTGGCTAAAATTTTTATTGATCTTCTTCTGCAGTTTTAGCTCCCAAAAGAGCAAAGGCCCTTTACCAATTCACACCGTCGCTCTATATTTTCCTATCGCAGGCAGCTCTCACCATGTCTTCCGCATCTTTCTTTCTAACTTCATTCACCAGCTGCCTTCTCCATGGTTTTTTTTTTTTTGGGGTGGTGGGTGGGGGGGGGGGGTGGGGGGGGGGGGGAGGGTGGGGGGGGAGGGTGGGGGGGGAGCTTTTTTTTTCCATCTAACATTCTAGGTGCCAATTCTGGAGGATTTCCTAGGTGAGAGGAGGTATGTCGACGATCTAAACTCCTTTTGGCTTTCTCCACACCGTGTCATACTTCTTCTACTTGAAGAGCGGCCCCCCCCCCCCTTTTTTTTTCATCTTGGTTAGCTGGGTTTTAATGCCTTCTCTTTTTGACTTATCCACGGTGAGTTGGTTTTTGTGCCTATTGTTTTTTTTTCAGAACGAGGTAGCCAACCTCAAGCCCAACCCTACCCTTGGTCGCCTCTTACGACATGCCTAGTAGTGTGCAGTGTCACTATTCTTTGCTTCCCGTGAGGGCCCCGGTGACATTCGGGCGATATTTGTTGATTTTAGTTAATATTTGTTGATTTAAGTTTATATTTATTAATGTTAGTTGACATTAGTTGATTTTAATTTATAGTGATTGATATTAGTTGACATTTGTGGATGTTAGCTGACATTTCTTGACATAGTTGTTTAAATAATGCATTATTCTAGTTCATTACGGGAAAACATTGTTTTGAATATCTAAAGACATCAGTTGTTGTTTATTATTGTTAGTTTATAATTGATATTTGTTGTTGCTAGTTTGTAACTGAACACGAAAGAAAACTGACCAGATAACACCAGGAATGGAATTCAGCGGATCCCTACAAAACAACTTGATGATCTGGACTTCGCTGATTATATTTATTGTCTGTCCTAATCACGGAGTCAGATACAAAATAAATTAAAAATACTTGATGCAAGTTTACAACAGCTTGGTTTAAAAGTCTATCATGGAAAGACAAAATGAGAATTTGACGTTTTGAGGTTTTGAACAACGAATCAACATCATCGCACACGGGTGTAGCCCAAAGTGCTTCGTTCTTCTTCTAAATCAAGTCCGAGTCCCAAAAAGTTCAGCACAGTGCACAGGCTCTGTAGCACGGGATAATGAGAATAAATCAGGAAAATAGTAAAATTGTTTCTCTTAATGGCATTCCACTCGAAGATGCGAAGACCTACTTTAGCATTCTTCTTCTTCTTCTTCACTTCCTCTTTTACCGCTGTGGGTGTTGAGGGAGATATAAGGTTCTGTTTCTAGCTCTTTTGGCTGCCCCGACCATAGGCACATCGTGCTGTTGTAGAGCTTTTCTGATGTTATCCTTCAATCTTGTTCTTGGTCTACCCCGTGCTCTACGACGTCCTTCTTCTCTTTCCATGTTTTACCGTTTGATCAGTCCGTTTATATCTCATTTTGATTTCTTTAGCGGTAATAAATCCATTGCCGGCTTGCTAGGCCTGTCGCAACTTCACCAGAGCCCCGTTGGCCAGGACGTTTCGGGGTGACCCAGGGTGGCCTTCATGGCTACCGTAGCGGTCCCGTGGCACGAGGCCACACCATACTTCGCCCACACCTAGCAATCCCCTAGTTTGTCCTGTTACCACCTCTCACGACGAGGACGTGGGGTTGGCCTTTGAGACCTAAAGACCTACTTTAGCATTAATAAGAATAAATGTGGGGAAACTGATAGGGATAATGAAATTGAAGACAAAAGGCAAGAGGAGCTTTCATAGCACTAGGAGATTTGTGAAGGTCAAAATAAATTACAACTTTATTAAACTGAAAATTTTAAATTATTATGTCAAATCAGTGCTGTTGTATGGAGCAGAAATGTTGAAAATAACTAAGGTAATACAGGTGCCTGCGCAGAATCGAGTAAATAAAATGGTATGATAGAATCACTAATGTAGGGCTTTGGGAAAGCAATTAACAAGTTGCGGTTGACCAATAGGTGAAGAAAGGATGCTGGCGTTGTACAGGACGTACGCTGAGAAAATCTGAGGACAATATAACTAGAAGGCTTTTGCACTAGAACCCACCGGTACATAGAAATACAAAAAAGGGAAAAAACAAACACATGGAAAAGGGAGTTAAAGAGTGATGTAAAAAAAAAAGATGAAGAAAGAGGACATGGGGAGACCTGTATGTTATTGCGAAGCATAGTACGACTTCACGTGAGTTGGTTGAGGGCATATGCTCCATTGGGGAAAA